CAAGGAAATACTGCCTGGAGGGAGGCTAGTGGCACCATCATTAGCTGCTGGGCATGGTCGAGCAGAACATTGTGGCTATCGTGACCCACAGGCAACCCTACGACCTCGACAGCAGGTGATTCAAGCTTCCTCTCCTCCTCCTCCTTCATGGTGTGAAACGTTTGAGCCTTTTGGGGCGAGCCAACACCTGAGGCGAAAAAAGCAGCCCTTCTCCCCATGACTTTCCGGTCTGGAGTCCACCAAATGGCATTCCGATCATTCTTGGCTACATAGGTAGCCTGGTGAAGTGGACAGGCAGGCACGTGTTGCTTGCTTGCGTGGCACTCGCGTAGTTGCTCTGTGAAGAAGAGGTGCAGCTGACCAGCGGCTCATCCTGAACAGAAATCATCTCATTCACGTTCCCAACATCATACCATGCTAGACCTTTTGCTCTCAATCCCTCTGTGGGTGCCTCTCTTGTTCGTGGTGCGTCTCAATCTCGCGAAGACTGTCACATGTCTCTACAAAATTGGTCCATTTTTTAATTCATCTCTTTCTCTACACGAAGATCGTGGCTGGAGTCACGCTGTTCTATCGCCACCTTCCTGAGAGGAGCGTGTTGTGGTACAAGAATGAGAATATGTACATCGACGCGCGCACGAATGATAAGAAGTCCTTCCCCCCTCCCTCGGCTGAGCCTGCCGTGTACCTCTCGCTCGTTGTGCCCGCCTACAACGAAGAGAAGCGCATGCCAACGATGTTGGACGAGACGCTGGCTTACCTGCAACAGAGGAGCGCCGAGGACCCTCAGTTCACCTACGAAATCATCGTCGTCGACGATGGATCGCGCGATAAGACCACTGACGTGGCGCTCAACTACGCCAAGCAGCACAAGCTCGACACCGTCCGCGTGCTGAAGCTCGCCAAGAACCGAGGCAAGGGAGGCGCCGTCCGCAGGGTACGCCATTTCCTTGACTCTCGTTGAACCTCCTCAGCACTTTGTCTGCCGCGTTGGGAGCTGATGTTCGCGTGCGCGACAGGGTATGCTGGTCGCTAGAGGAAGGTATGCGCTGATGGTTGACGCCGATGGCGCCACCAAGTTTTCCGACCTCGAGAGGCTCGAGAAGCGTCTCCTGCAGGTGCGTGCGATATTACTCTGCGCAAGGAGGCGTCGCTCAAAGGCTCAGTCATCTTCTACGTGCTGTTGTGAACATAGGCTGAAAAGAACGGACTCGGCGTGGCTGTGGGCTCGAGGCACCATTTGCAGGAGAAGAGTGAGGCTGTTGCCCAGGTAGGCGCTCACTCAGATTATTCTGGTTTCGCCTGGCGATGGTTAATGCTCACCTTTCGCTTACAACAGAGGACCTTCTTGAGGAAGACTCTCGGCGCAACCTTCCACATGCTGGTTACCTTCTGCGTGGCCAACGTGCACGACACTCAGTGCGGCTTCAAGCTGTTCACCCGCAGGAGTGCTCAGCTCCTCTTCTCCAACCTTCACATTGGTACCGCTCGGCGCCTCCTCGCTACCCTCTGTCTCGCGTCTCTCCGTATCCAGCCTCACACCTCTTCCTTCGTTTTCCAACGATCACAGAGAGGTGGGCGTTTGACGTCGAGCTGCTGTACCTTGCCCAGCAGCTGAACATGCCGATCGAGGAGGTGCCACCTCCAAAACGTAGCGCTGGGGTGATCACCCTCAAGTACTAATGTGTTGCCTTTGTCGCGAACGCAGGTGCCCGTCAACTGGCAGGAGATCGCCGGTTCAACGCTGAACCCCGTCACCGCCTCCATCCAGATGGCCAAGGACATCTTCTACATCAGGGCCCTCTACATCCTCGGCTACTGGAAGATCGACAAGTGATGGCGCCTTGAGAAAGCGCACCTGGGCTCACACCACCCACTCCTTCCCTCTTGATACCTCCCTACCTATACATACATCCTCTTTTCGTTCATGCACGCGGGGCACGCAAGGTAAAATCAAAAAAAAAAAAACTAGCGTTCGGAAGTCTCCGCGAAGTCTTTTGCGGCCTCGCGAAGACGAAGAGGGAGCAAGTCAAGAGATGGAGGACCACGATCTCGAGATCTTGAAGCAGGTGGAGATCTATCAGCCCCCCGCTGACATTGCGTCTCGCGCGCACGTCAAATCGCTCGATGAGTATAACAAGCTCTACGAGAAGAGCGTCACCGATCCCGACGCCTTCTGGGGCGAGATTGCGGAACGCGATTTCTACTGGCACCAGAAATGGAGCAAGGTACCTGTGCCAGTGTAGCGTGCATTCTTCATCATTCTTGCAGCTTCGTTCTTTTTCCTCAATGTTTGAATTCAATGATCGCGAGCATTTTCGGCGAGTGTGCTTGGGTGGCGATTTTCTCATCAAAACATTCATAATCGTTGTAGGTGAGCTCGTACAACATCGACGTAAAGCAGGGGCCAGTCAAGATTGAATGGTTTGTCGGCGCCAAGACCAACATCTGCTACAACGCCGTGGATAGGCATGTGGAAGCTGGCAAGGGCGAGCAGGTCGCCTTCTATTGGGAGGGTAACGATGAGGGCGAAGACAAAGTGTGGACCTACAGCATGCTGAAATCCGAGGTGCCCAAACATTTCTATTTTGCTTTTTGCATCCACATGCTTTTTTGAATTGAGCTATTCATCCCTTTCTCCCCGGTCCATGCAGGTGTGCAAGTTCGCCAACGTGCTCAAGTCTCTCGGCGTGAAGAAGGGCGACAGGGTGGCCGTGTACTTGCCCATGATCGTCGAGCTCCCGGTCGTCCTCCTTGCCTGTGCCCGCATCGGTACGTTCCTTCCTTCACATGCACGCACTCTCACCAGAGCTCTCTTCGTGCTCACACCCGCCACTGCCTCGCGTGAACAGGTGCTATCCACTCGGTCGTCTTCTCCGGCTTCTCGGCCGAGGCGTTGGCCAACCGATTGCTCGATTCGGAGGCCAAGATCCTCATCTCCGCCGACGCCGTGCTCCGTGGAAACAAGCCCGTCCTTCTGAAGCAGGCCGCCGACGAAGCCCTCGCCCTGTGCGCCAAGACTGGCCTGCAGGTACCCCCCATTTCCGTCCGTGGCTGCAGGTGCGCAGTGAGCAGGTGCTGACCGGGTTTCTGCTGTGCGCCGGGTAGATCAAGCATATTGTGTACAAGCGCTTGGGTGACAGGGTCCCGGCGCACATGAAGCCTGAGCGCGACATGTGGTACCACGAGCTGATGGCCGCGGCCTCCGAGGACTGCCCCGTGGAGTGGCTCGACGCGGAAGACCCGCTCTTCATGCTCTACACCTCTGGCAGCACGGGCAGGCCTAAGGGAGTGCTCCACACCACAGGTACGGGAAGCGTGACAAGACAACCTGTGGCTGTTTGTGGCCCCATCTCACATACACGTGCGCACGCACATTTCACATCAGGCGGTTACATGGTGTATGCGGCCACCACCCACAAGTATATCTTTGACTACCACCCGGGCGATGTGTACTACTGCACCGCTGATCTCGGCTGGGTCACCGGTACGATGGGCCTTTTTGCTTGGTGGGCGGGTATGCGTTCAATTTTCCTCTCACCAATCTTCACCACAGGCCACAGCTACATCATGTACGGACCGCTTTGCAATGGTGCCGCCTCGGTCCTCTTCGAGGGCGTCCCGACGTGGCCCGACGCCGGTCGGTTCTGGGCCATCGTTGAGAAGTACAAGGTCACCCAGTTCTACACTGCCCCCACCGCGATCAGGTACGCGAACCGTGTGCGCTGAAACCTTGGACTCTCGTACTCTGTGCTCACCGAGCGTTTGGTGTTGGCCAACAAGGGCTTTGATGCGACTGGGCGAGGGTCCGGTGAAGAAGTACAACCGGGACAGCCTTCGCATTTTGGGCAGCGTCGGCGAGCCCATCAACCCGGAGGCGTGGCTCTGGTATCACCGCGTGGTCGGCGATTCCCGCTGCGCCATCGTCGACACCTGGTGGCAGACCGAGACCGGCGGTACGCACCCCGTCGCTTGCCCCTCCCCCCCCGGGGGGAGGGGTATTGGCCCCGGATCCGGTGTGTTGACGCACTTCCTCTTCGACGACGTCCCGCAGGCATTCTCATTACGCCGCTGCCCGGCGCTACGCCCACGAAGCCGGGATCGGCGACGAAGCCCTTCTTTGGCGTGCAGCCCGTCGTGCTGGACGAAAAGGGACAGGTGCAGGAAGGCCCGTGTGCTGGCTACCTGGCCATCAGCCGGCCGTGGCCCGGCATCATGCGCACCGTCTACGGCGATCACGCTCGTTTCGAGCAGACATGTACGTCTCGCCTGCCTGTCGCCAGGGCGAGTCGGTGCTTGATCGCTGACCACCCATCACCCGCCAGACTTTTCCATGTTCCCGGCTACTACCTCTCCGGGGATGGATGCAAGCGGGACCAAGACGGCTACTACTGGCTCACGGGTACGTTCGACACCGCACGCGCCCCGCACACGAGCTGACTGATCGCTGGCGATTGTGTCTTGCTTCTTTCTTTTCTGGTGCAGGTCGCATTGACGATGTGATGAACGTCAGCGGACACAGACTCGGTACGGCCGAGGTTGAGAGTGCCCTGGTGTCCCACCAGGCCGTCGCCGAGGCCGCGGTGGTGCCCTACCCTCACGACATCAAGGGCGAGGGGATCTACGCCTATGTGACGCTGCGAGAGGTCCTTCACCTTTACACCTCTTGCTGCACAGACTCGCGCTGATCGACTGTGCTCCTTGCCCAATGCAGAACTTCGACTACTCGCCCAAACTGAGGCAGGAGCTGATGTTCCACGTGCGGAAGGTGTTGGGACCCATCGCCACGCCCGACCACATCCACTGGGCGCCCGGTCTGCCGAAGACCCGCTCGGGCAAGATCATGCGGAGGATCCTCAGGAAGATCACCACCGACCAGACCTCGCCGGAGCATCTTGGCGGTGCGTGATCCTCTTCTCTCCTCTTGGCTTTTCGGCCATCATGCGAGAGTTGTGTGTGTGCTGATCCGCGTGTGTGTCTGTGGTGTCACGGTCCCTGGTGCTGCAGACATTTCGACCCTTGCCGATCCCGGAGTGGTGGAGGTGCTCATCGACATGAAGGGCAAGTAAGTACGGCATCACCACCGTGTAGCAAGCAGCTGATCAACTCCCCTTTGGTTATTTATATAAAAAACGAGGGTTTCTTTTGGCCACCACGTCACGTGCCCCATCCGTTCGAGGATTTCCGGTTATTCTTTCTTCTTCTCTGTCTTCCTTGTTCTCTTTGTTCTTTCTTCTTCGTTCCCCCTTCTTTCTCGGCATACGATCCCCCGCCATCTTAACAGGGCGGCTCACTACACGCAAGTGATACGGGCAGCCCAAACGTTAAGGTCCCGTCGACCCACTTTTAGACGCCCACAGCCCGGACCTCCCCAGCCAACGTCGCCACCTGTCTCCGCGGAGTTCCTCTGTCGACAGTTAGCGAACCGAAGGAGGTGCCCCATACTCCGCAGCAAGGAAGAGGTCCGACCGAACGACGAGGAGGTTTCCTCACACCGGCCACGCGCTACCCAAGCACCTCACGGGCGACCACTACTTAGTGCCCGACCACCTCACCCCCCACCAGAGACATAACTACCGGGCCAACTACCCCACACCCTCTCGCCAAGACGCCGCTCACCAAGGCCCTTCAAACCACGCAGCGATCGCTGACGACGGCCCCGCCAAGGACGCCATAGCACACAAGGCCGACCTCCGCTCGCCGTCTCATCACGCGACCGCGATCTGGGTAGCACCAATCAATCGATCAATCTCTACACGCGGGATCCACAAGATGGCAAGGCCGACACAGCAGGACATCAACGGAGATGCTCTGCGCTTCCTCGTGATGGGCGATTGGGGTGGTTAGTACTTCACCAAACGCCCCATTTCGCTTGCACGAGCTCGCCACCATCACCTAAACAGAGAGATGGCCCATCTCTGTATCACTGGTGGCGAGCTTCGCATCTAGCTGTTGAGAGTTCAACCTCCTAAGCGATGATGTTCGAATTTCTGCCCACAGGCAGCGGGGGCAGTGAACCTCAAGCCAAAATCGCCGACCGGATGGCCTCCGTTGCCGATGAGATCGGCAGCGTATCGTTCGTCCTGGCCCTCGGCGACAACTTCTACCGGTACACTTTCATCCATCTCCACTTCGCCTGAGCATTAGGATCAATCGCTCACATCATTCCCGATTCCCTAGGCGCGGAGTTTCCAGTGTTGACGATCCGCGGTTTAAGACCTCCTACGAGGACGTCTACACCCACTCGTCGCTCCAAGTGCCGTGGTATCTCATCGCAGGTATGAAACCCCTTCTCCGTCAATGGCCTGGCATTCGTGTGTTGTGTATGATGAACAACAAAAAACTTTCGTTCTTCCGAATTGGAACAATGTGGAATTTAACCTCTGACAACCTGACTCACAACACACGAACCTTTCTTATGTTGCGAGCGATTAAACTCTCATCCCAGTCAAGATTTCACTGACCTCCTTCTCCCTCGCACCTCAGGCAATCGCGATCACAAGGGCAATGTTCAGGCTCAGATCGATTACACCAAGGTCTCCTCGCGGTGGCGCTTCCCAGCGCTCTACTACTCAACAGTGACCACGCTTCCGCGCAGCAACGTCACCGTCCAGTTCATTTTCCTCGACACCATGCGTACGTTCATCATCTTTGTCCGCACTCGTTCTCGCCCACCGCGTGAGTTGGCTAAACCTCTCTCTCGCCCTTTGCAGTGTACCTCGGCCCCAACAACGAGCTGCAGGACATGTGGCTGGAGGACACCCTCCAAAAGTCCACGGCCGACTGGCTCTTCGTGTGCGGCCACCACCCGGTGTACTCGGCCGGGCGCCACGGCCCTACGCCGCGGCTGGTCAACCAGCTTCGTCCACTCCTGGAGAAGTACAAGGTCGCCGCCTACTTCTGCGGCCACGACCACAACCTGCAGCACATTCAGGGTACGCGCGACCTGCTCCTCCCTCTCTGCCCGCCCACGCGCTGATGATGCATAAATATTTGCTACTCTTGACTTCTTGCATGACGACATTTTCCACCAAGATCTCTGAGGCGCACTCGGCTTAGTTTTCTTTTGCGTGTGCACGACGAATGCGTGGCATGCTAACGTTCTCACTCTGTTCAGATGGCTCGAGTGTGGACTACTTTGTCAGCGGGTCTGGCTACGAGACTTGCGACGAACGCACCGATTCTTTGCCGCAGAACGCGAGCAAGTTCTTCTGGCCACCCAAAGTGACTCGTACGCCTTCCCCTTCACCACTTCGCTCTCTTATGTTCCTGATGATAATTTAGATCGATAGGCATGATCAATGATATGATTATACTTTTTACACACTCTCTGAAGGGACCTTATTCGTTTGTCATCCCCTTCCCTCTCAAGCCGGTTGTACTTATCATCTCTTCTCTTTTACATGTCCTTCAGCGTTTGGCGGCTTCATGACCACTGAGATTGTCGATCAGCGCTCGATGTCGGTCAACTTCTACGACAGCGAAGGGCAAGTGCTCTACAGCTGCCGAAAGACCAACCCCCGTTCCTCGCCCAGTCTTACACCGTCTCTTCGCGGCAGCAACTAAGTCTTCTCCACCAGAGCAAGGAGAAGATAAGGCCTCCAATTATGTACCTCGTCCTAAAATATTTCAAATAGTTGGAAATCCAGTTGAACACCACATGGAATGTATGTTAAATTTGAAAAATGGAAGAATCGAACGTGGTCAACATCAAAAATAGGATGATTATTTTTTTCTTCGGGGACTGCTCGTGTGGTCAAACGCCCGCGTGTGGCCGAGCGGAACAGCGGAAGCGGAAAAGGCAGGCCCTGGCGGTTGGCCGGAAATGCCGCTGGTGCCCACGTCGCAGGGCATCCCTGATCTGCGGCTTTTCTTGGGCGAGGTCCACTCGCCAAACTGGGGCTCTCTGTCAGTTGAGTCCGCGCTGGTTTGGCCACGTCACCCGTGTCAGAGCGGTGTGAGAGACAGACGCCATGTCTTGGCGGCCCAGGCGACCACTGCTGTGGCACTGTTTAGCTGGCGGTGGTTTTCTGGTTGTCGCGTGCTGAATCCCATGCGGCAGCTTTCTATCGAAGAAAGGCAAGAGCACTTTGGAGCTGGTGGGTAACGCGCGGGGCAGAAGACGGTGGCCTCCACTGAGTGAAGATCGAGAGAGGAGCAGCTGCCCGCGCAGCAGGTTGAGGATGCGAGCCGTGCGGTTCACTTGCCACAAAGAGGGCGTATCAGGCGCAGACCCAAACGGCCTCGACTTTGCACACATCAACACCGACGGTTGTCGTTCCCCGCCGCCACCGTTCTTGAGCCCACCTAAGCCGACCGCGCGGGGCAGGACGCGCTCGCAATCGGTGGGCGATGATCTCGAACGAGCAGCGGTGCCTCGGCTGGAAATCAACGCGGCCAAGATCGAAGATGTGAATGAAAAGGCGAAGGAGGAAGAAAAGGAGGAAAAGGCAAAGGATGCTGGACCGCGAGGAGCAGGACGAAGGGGGAGCTGGTGCCCCACGGGGGTGGCCGTGAATGATATTAAATCGCCTCGCACCAAGGAAAAGGAGCACGCAGAGCGCAGGATCAGGAGGGAGAAGAACCTGAGACGCACGTACGAGACGAAAGACCTGGAGATTTTCAACCTCCTCCGCGTTCCCGTGTGGATCTTCGATTTCAAGAAGCGGCAGATGCTCTGGTGCAACCTGGAGGGCTTGGAGGTACCTCGCCATTGCCCTTGCCACGCTAAGCAGCATTCTCAGCCCTGATTGATTTGTGATTTGCACAGCTGTGGTCAGCAGACACTCTGGAGGAGCTGCTCGCTCGGGACTGGGCCGGCGACATGTCGCAGGCGATACAGGTGCCAGGCCGCCATTCTTCTCTTGCTCTGTTCGGCAATCGCCATTGCCTCCTGCTGACGTCCTGTGCAACAGATGCAATGCGACCACTTCGCCTACACCCTGAGCCAAGGCGGCAGCATCGTTCGTTCCCGCCAGTCCACCGCTCGTTCATTCAGTCAGGCTCACGCTCGTCTTTCTCTCTCTCTCTCTCACACACACCTATTGCAGAAAGAGCTGTTCACGTTCTACCCGCTGCCGACCCGCCAGCCGCGAACCACGCTGATGACGCTCACCGGCATACAACTCAAGGATCGGTCCCAGGAAGGTGGTACCTTATCGCCCATCAACCCCTCTTCGGAGGCAAGGCCTTGGTTCGCAGCAGTGATTTGCTCACCCGGCCTTGCATGCGTGTCTGATCGCGCAGAGGGTCCTCGCTCGGGCACGGCGCTTGTGATGGCAGAGTACGTGGGCGAGAGCCTGTCGCACCAGGAGATACGGGCCGTGGCAGCTATGCGCCACACCATCGCCATGGTGTCGGTCTATTCGGCCAACGACTACTTTCCGCTCTATCAGGCACCGCAACCCTCCATCTCGCCTCGCGCTGCACTACTGCGCGCCACGATGCGAGCTTACCCGTCGCATGCGACAGAACCCGGCGGCGGTCAACAACTACTACCCCGGCAGCCAAAAGCAGGGAGAACCGCCCCAGGAAGACCCCATCAAAGTCAGGTACGGAGACTTACCGCCCTCTCTCCTTTGTTGTGACCTTTTCCGAGCATTCTGACGCCTCTCTCTATGGTGTGTGTTGTGTGTGTGTGTGTGATCTTAGTCCGTCGGGAAGCCTATTGGCGGGCAACAGACTGCTCCAGCGGTTTGCCAAACCGGAGGACTGGGAAGATTGTCGTAACACGCTCGACCAAGGGTCGGTTTGGGAGAAGGAAACGCCGATGATGGGTTGCCACGGTCCCAAGTGGCACTCGGTCACCGTGAAGCGCATCAAGGACCCAATATCCGGTATTCCCCCTCCCCCCACCCCCCACAGCAGTCCGTCGATCCCCCTGTTCTCCAGTCCTTCACCACACGCCTCGTCACTAATCGGTGAGCCATGTGCGTACAGGTGAATCGGCCTTCCTCGTGAGCGAGATGGACATCACCGCCAAGAAGAAGCTCGAGAAAGAGAACTCGGACAAGGACACCTTCCTGGGCATGGTACGTCGTGGTCGCTCTCCTCTGTCCATGCCCATCATCGCCATCACCACCATCTTCATCGCCATCACCACCTCACACGGGCGAACCGGGGTGTGAAGGTATCGCATGAGATCAGGACTCCGATCAACGGCATCCTGGGCTTCAACAGTCTCCTGCTGGAGACCAGCCTCACCGAGGAGCAGCGCGACTTCACGACCAGCATCCAGCGGTCGGCCAAGCTCCTCCTGGCCCACGTCAACGACCTCCTCGACTTTGCCAAGATCGCCGAAGGCAAGCTGCGCATGGTTCGCCTCCCCCTGTCCCCCCTCTCTTTGCACCCGCGCAACCGACTCAACGCGACGAAATGTGCAGGAGACGGCGCTGGTGAGCCTGGAGGAGGTGGTGGAGACGGTGACGAAGCTGGCGCGACCGCTGGCCGAGGAGAAGCAGCTCGAGCTTCGGTGCACGGTGGACAAGATCATCCCGCGCGTGCTGTTTGGCGATCCGCTGCGCATATCGCAGATCATCCAGAACTTCCTGAGCAACGCGGTCAAGTTCACCAGCAAGGGCTACATCCACGTCAAGGTCACGGTCAACAAGGACCCAGCCTGCGCGATCCCGTCCGAGTACGTTGCCGGCCGGCCCTTCTCTCTCTCTCTCTCACCCGCGCACCCCGCCGGGCGCGATTGTGAAGCGAAAAAGACTGACAACGACGCTGCACGTTGGGTGGCGAATGTGTAGCGGCAAGGAGCGGGGCGATGAAAGCTACCTGGCTGGCATGGACGACAACAACTCTATCTTCCTCAAGATCTCTGTCCAGGACACCGGCATCGGTACGCCTCTCCCAATTCATTCCGCCCCGCCAATTTTCGATGTATCTATCGGCCGTCTCTCGTTGACCGTTCGTTCCACTCTTCGATCGCCCAGGCGTGCCACCGGACATGCGAAAGGCCATATTCGGAAAGTTCGTGCAGGCCGACTCTTCCATCTCTCGTCGCTTCGGTGGAACTGGTACGACACCGCACCACCACACACTCACTTCCGCACACGCACCACCGCACACGCACGCACATGCACATGCACACCGCCGGCTCGATTGTTGATGCGTGCTCACGATCGCTCGACATTTAGGGTTGGGACTGGCCATCTGCAAGCGAGTCGCGCGAATGATGGGCGGCGACTGCAGTTGCCGGTCGCCTGCCATTCCCCCCTTCGAGCGCGAAGATGTCGGCGGCCCCGGGAGCGAGTTCTGGGCCACGCTGCGCGTGCGGACCACGTTCGAGGCCAAGCAGCCGTCCAAGTTCTTCCTCGTCCACCCGCAGCTCACGCCCCACCTCTACGCTCTCCACGTCCCGCCCATGCAGCCCCTCGCCGCCGTCTCCACCCAGTCCGAGCCGCTCATCGACTCAGCCGCGCTCCGGGGTCTGGACCCCGTCCAGCGTCGGTTGTCCGTGCCCGAACTCGCCCCCGAGCTCACTGCCGACCCTCGCGCGGGCTACACGCCGCTGCGCGATGACATCCTGAGCGCTCTCACGGAGAACGAAGACATGGCCTACCTCGACAACGACCAGCTTCCGCCGCTGCCGCGGCAGCGCCAGCAACCGCAGCGCCAGCGGAGGATCAAGCTGAGACTGCCGGCCAGGTCGGTGTCTTGCTGCGGCGACGGCGGTGGCTCGTCGGACGAGGAGCAGGCGGGCATGAAGTCGCCGCTGTCGCCGCTCGGGGCGTCGTCGGTCACGGGCCAACGGAAGCCGGTCAACTCGTCATCGTCGCCGTTGCCGCCGTCGTCATCGGCCAAGCGCGACTCGTTCTCGCAGGAGAGCGTGGGCCAGAACTACGATATGCTGTGCGAGGTGCTGGCCCAGTGCACCAACGTCGAAGTCGAGCGCGTGGAGACCCTCGAGCAGCTCGAGGCCGCCCGGCGCGAGATCAGCCGCGGTGTGACCCTTACCACCGCCACCGCCCCGAACGACGCCAACCCGGCCGTGTCGCTCGGCGAGCCCACGAGTGGCGGCAGCCTGCTCGACGTGGACGAAGATAACGCCGACGACGCCGGCAAGACGCCGGCGACGGGGGCGACGGCGGTGACGAGGCCGCGGGCGGTGGTGGTGGTGTGCCTGGTGGAGATCCCCGGCCTCGCCAATCGCAGCAACCCGCGCTCGTTCCGGCGGTTCCTCTCATCCTACTTCTCCCGCGCCGCCACCGCCACCGCCGCCTCCTCCCTCATGGAGGCCAGCGGCGACGAAACGGCCACCGCCGGCGGTATGCGGCACTTTGATTTCGACCGCGCCGACGCGCAGGCGCTCAACGGAGGAGGCAGCCACACCACCAAGCACCGGGCCGATGTGTGGCTCATCACAGGCGTGTCGGAGACCGTCAACTGCTTCCTCAACAGCTGCGTGTTCAAGTACGCCGGGCCCACACAGTCCGGCGGCCGGTTTCCCAGCTACCGGGAGGCCGCGCCGCGACGACGCGCCGCCAGCCCGCGGCCTCGCAGCAGCAGCGCCGACCACAGCGCCGCTTCGGTGAGCACCACGAAGAACGGGTTCGCCACCGAGCGTCAGCCCAGCGAGATCGTGGTGACGACGCCACCGACCATGATTCCCGTCACCGCCAGCGGCGGCCAGAGCTCGCCGAGGGAGGCCTCGGGGTGGAAGACCCGCAAGGCTTCGCTGTCGCTGCCTCACCTGCGACTGGGCAGCGCAGCCGACAGCCACCACCAGGCCGAGGGCGACGGCGAGGAGGAGCCAACGACGAGGCTCGCGCTGGCGACGACGCGGGAGAAGCGGGCGGCGTCGGACGACGCGTCGGTCGAGAGCCCGCACAAGCGGCGGGTGCTGGTGGTGGAGGACAACGCCATGAACCAGAAGCTCATCCGCAACATCCTCGTGCGTGAGGGCTACGACGTCGAGGTGGCCGGCGACGGCCTCGAGGCCCTCGACGTCATCCGCGAGAAGGGGCTCGACCACTTCTCCCTCGTCCTCATGGACATCCAAATGCCCAAGATGAACGTACGGTTCTCTGGCCTCGCGTCGCCTTCGTTCTTTTTTCGTTATTCATCTTCTTCGTTCTTTTTCTGCAGGGCTACGAATGCACGCAGGCAATCCGAGCGCTGCCGGACCCTACGGCGCGCACGATCCCAATCGTGGGGGTGAGCGCGACGTCGGGGGAGGACGTGGTGGAGCGGTGCCTGAGCAAGGGCATGAACGCCACCATCGCCAAGCCCTACTCCCTCCAGACCATCCGCTCCCACCTCAACCAATACGCCCCGCGCTACGTCACTCCCTCCCCACGAGCCGCTCGCCTCGCCTCCCTCTGAGCACGTGTACAGTGTAAAAAAAGCAAAATACTCAACATAGTTGGAAATCATGTGGTTTACGGGTGTAAACATTGGAGAAAACTCTGGTATTTAAGGAATGCACACGGGAGAACTGCTCAGTCGCTCCACTCGTCGTCTGAGTCAAGCTCGTCCTCGTCGGCGCGCATGTCGACGCGACGGGCGGCCATGGCCTTGGCGAGGGTGTCGGCGAGGGTGGAGGACTGCTCCTCGTTGAGGCCGGCCAGATCCGGCACGGAGCGGTCCTCGGCGCTCTTGAGCTGCGCACTCGCCAGCTGATCGGCCAGGCTCGAGCCGAAGCTCATCGCCTTGTCCGGCGGCGGGGGCGGGGGCGCCCCGGGGCCTCCTCCACCGCCGAAGCTGGGCGGCGGCGGCGCGGACGGAGCGGAGAACGCGGGCGG